AAAATTTTAAAATAAATTTTCGTTTAGAACAATTTTAAGTTTGCAGAAATATTGTAAAGATGGTACAGAGAATGTCCATATCACTAATACCCAGTTTCCTCTATTCCAAACATATCAGTATGGTACATTTGTCACAACTAATAAGCCAATATTAACACATTGCTATTAACTAAAGTCCATATTTTCCTTAGTTTTACCTAATGTCCCTTTTCTGTTCCACGATCTTATCCAGCATATCACCTTATTTAGTGATATGTTTATATATAGTCATCATGGCGCCTTAAACTTTTCTTGGCTTTGAGTTTCTCAGACTTTCCTTGTTTTGGATGACGGCCACAGTTTGGAGGAGTTGTGTCCCTCCGCTGACACTTGTTGGACTTTTTCTCTCATAAATAGACTGAGATTATGTTTCTGGGAGGAAACACATACAGAAAAAGTGCCATTCTCATAAAATCCTATCGAGGACACACGCCATCAACATGACTCATCCTGTCCGTGTTGCTCTGGACAGCTGGCTGAGGTGGATTTGCCAGATTTCTCCACGGTCAACTTACCCATTTCCCCCTTTGCGTACATCCCGTATACCTTGAGAGTAGATTACTACGCATGTACCATAGTCACTAAGAGTTGTGGCTCCAATTCCTTGAGGGTGGAGTATTTGCATAAATTGTGTAGAATTTTTCTGCATGAGACTTATGTCTATTTCTCCCATTTATTTAATGTGCATTTATTTATATCAATATGGATCACAGATATTTATTTTATACTTTGGGTATAGCTCAATACAATTTATTTATTTTGTTTCACTCAAATTGCTACCACTTTGGCCTCTGGGAGGTTTTTCCCTTGCCTGCCATGTCACTTTGACCACTTCCTTACTTTCCAGTCCAATAAAATGCTCCAGTATTATCTTGTATATTCCCTTCCTTAGTCCTAAAATCAATCATTTCTTCAGAAAGCCCAGGTTCCTTTATTGGAGATTGGCATTAGAAATCAAGACCTGTTGGGGCACCTGGGTGGCGCAGTCGGTTAAGCGTCCGACTTCAGCCAGGTCACGATCTCGCGGTCCGGGAGTTCGAGCCCCGCGTCGGGCTCTGGACTGATGGCTCAGAGCCTGGAGCCTGTTTCCGATTCTGTGTCTCCCTCTCTCTCTGCCCCTCCCCCGTTCATGCTCTGTCTCTCTCTGTCCCAGAAATAAATAAACGTTGAAAAAAAAATTTTTTAAAGAAATCAAGACCTGACTGTGAGGTTTGCTCACAGTTCTTGGGACATCGATGCTTCTAGACCCTGTCAGTTGAGAGAGCAAATATATGTGTGTTATTGTCAGTTTTGGTGTTAGGGTAAAGCTGGCCTCATAGAATAAGTTAGGGAATTTTTCTGCTTCTTGTAATTTTCTAGAGGAGGTTGTGGAAGATGGGTATATGTTTTTTAGAATTTACCAGTGTAGCCAGGTGCTTTATTATTTAAGAAAGTGTTAATTATCGACAATTTATTTAATGGAAATTGTTATTCAGATTATCTATTTCTCCACATTTGACTTTTATTAGTTTGTTTTTTTAAGGAATCGGTGCATTTCATCTAGTTTATCAAATTCATGATCATAGACTTGTTTATAGTATCCCCTTATTATCAGTTTAAGGTCCCCGAGGTCAGTGCTGATGACCCCTCTTTCATTTACGGTTTTGGTAACTTGTGTCCTCTCTCTCTGTCTAGTCTGGCTAGAAGTTCATCAATTTTATTGATTCAGCCTTTGATTTCATTAATTTTTCTTGATTGTTTTCTTGTGTTTTATTTCCTTGATTTGTACTCTATAATTTTTCTTTTCTGCTGCTTGCTTTTAGCCTATAAATATTTAAGCTTATAAACTGGATCCATATTTTATTTTTTATTTTTTTAAGTGTATTTATTTATTTTGAGAGAGACAGAGCATGAACGGGAAGGGCAGAGAGAGAGGGAGAATCCCAAGCAGGCTCCAAGTGTCAGCGCAGAGCTGGATGCAGGGCTTGAACTCACAAAACAGTGAGATCATGGCCTGAGCCAAAATCAAGAGTCGTATACTTAACTGACTGAGCCACCCAGGTGCCCCTGGATCCGCATTTTAAATTATTAGTTTTGTATGCTTAATTGGCCAATGGCTGTGCAGGTTTAGGTGAATTTTCCTACTGAGAATGTTTTCATATGACTTCCTCTTTTAAATTCTCGTACTGTACCTTGTAAAGACTGATCCTAAATGATTTCATGGCACATCTCTCTTGTATAGAGAAAACCCCATTGTTACAATGTCCTTTGTTATCTTGTTTAATGTTTAGAATCTTAAACTTGTCTGAAACTATATTTGAAGTCTCTATTATTATTATTATTATTATTAGCATACATTTGATGTGCCTTTGAAACCATTTAATGTCTACAGAGGATTCTTGGAGAGTTACTAATTTAACATTTCATCTCTGCTCTTACCCTCAAAATATCCCCTTTGCCTGCCAGAACTAATGGTTGGAATAAGCAGACTGATGGCTTGCATGAGACTTGAGGCTCTCTGAGACATCCAGGTGAGGGTCCATTGAGGGCTTTCTCCCTGGAAGTCGGCAAAATGAGAAAATAGTCTAGAGACCCCTAGAGCAGATCCTGAAAAGATGGCAACTCTACTCTGTAATACCCAGATATAAATGTAGAGGAACCCACATCCACAGGGCAAGTGGAGCGAGACTTACAGATGCATTCTTATCATGTTATCCCTGTGCATAGAACATCTCATGGCTTTGGCTCTGTGTTATAATTGAAATATAAGCTCCTTAACATGTCTTCAGAGTCCCGTGTGACTTGACTCCTACCTACTGCTCCAGTGTCACCTCTCTCCCTACTGCACCCACACTGCCCTGGTCCAAGTTCTTGAACGGTAAACCGATTTTCCACCTCCTGTTCTTGGAATGTGTCATTCTCTAAAACGGTACTCATTTTCTCTCTGCTTCTTTCGCTGAATAATGCCACTTCATCCTTTAAATCGACAATTTAATTCCCTTAATCATAATGTCTCCCTTCAGCCCATACCTGTACCTTACTACAACATCTTATACTTTGTGGTCATAGCTTTTATATTGAGCAGTCGCAAGACTTATGAAGAGAACTCACAGAATGAGGGCAGGGTGGTGTTTGGGAATGTGGACTCTGGATCCAGGTGGCCTGGGGTCAGACGCAACTCTGCCGCCTAACCGTGGGATCATAGCTCATGTGACCTTACTGTGCCACGGTTGCTTCATCTGTAAAAATAACAACGGGAAGTGAAGTGTTTATTTTGGGGGAGGATTCAATAATTCAGTTTATGAAGAGCTCAGAACAGTTCCTGGCATGCAGTACACTCATATGGTAGCTTTTAGGATATTGTCGTTATGGCAATTGTCCCTATGCATTTGCATGTGAACTTGGGCCTATTGCTTCCTCCCCACTGGATCTAGTAGTTCCGAGAGAGCAGACGTATGATGATTGCTCTCCCCTGTGTTTCTACCAGTGTCTAATAAATTAACATCTGCTAAATTACTTAACATGAAAATTGTGAACTGATTTTGGCTTTCCAAAGTCAGTTAATGTCCTGCAAGGTAACATTTAAGAGACTGGGTGAGGCGAAAAGTTGTGGACAGTGAGCAGGATGACATTACTGGGGCTTTTTCTCCTCAACACCAAATGATTTATTCAATTTGGTTAAGAGTTCTTAGTTATAACACTTGCTTTCAGCTATTAAAGCGGAAGGACGAACACGGTCAGTACTTTTCAGGAGAACAGAGCGGGTACAGTCCTACCACTTACGGCTGAGCGTGATTTTCCTGCCACTTCAGAAACTGCAAGGGAATTGGGAGTAAATACAATGTGGCTTTAAAATGCGAAATGTAGGGGCTCCTGGGGGGCTCAGTCAGTTGAGCGTCCGACTTCGGCTCAGGTCATGATCTCATGGTTTGTGGGATCGTGCCCCATGTCGGGCTCTGTGCTGACAGTTTGGAGTCTGGAGACTGCTTCAGATTCTGTGTCTCCCTCTCTCTCTGCCCCTCCTCCACTTGTGCTCTGTCTCTCTCTGTCTCTCAAAATTAAATAAATGTAAAAAAAAAAAATTGTTAATGTGAAGTGTAGACTTAAAAAAATTCCCATTTAAGGGGCGCCTGGGTGGCTCACTCGGTTGAGCGTCCGACTTCTGCTCAGGTCATGATCTGGCAATTGACGAGTTCAAGCCCCGCGTCAGGCTCTGTGCTGACAGCTCAGAGCCTGGAGCCTGCTTCAGATTCTGTGTCTCCCTCTCTCTCTGCCCCTCCTCTGCACATGCTCTGTCTCTCTGTCTCAAAAATAAATAAATATTTTAAAAAAAATTTTTTAAATTCCCACTTACCAGGACTGATTCCTTTTTACAAGCAGAAACACATATGAGATTTAGAGAGACACTGTTAACAAAGACACCGAAGAGGGATGCCTGGGGGCCTCAGTTATTGAGCATCTGACTCTTGATTTCAGCTCAGGTCATGGGATTGAGCCCTGTGTTGCGCTCCATGCTAGGTGGGGAGCCTGCTTGGGATTCTCTCTCTCCCTCTGCCCCTCTCCCCCAGTTGTGCTCTCTCAAATACATACATACATATATGCATACATACAACACAAAAGACCCAGAAGAAACCCACCAATCAATATCAAGCTGCTTTACATTCTCACTCTCACTAATATTGGAACACCAAACTGTTTGATCGCATGGGGAGGACTGAAGCCATAATTTTCTGTCCCTGTGTTGAACTGGGCCCAGACACACTTTCCCAATCCCTATTTTATTATTTTTTTTTATTTTGTTGTTGTTCAGCTTTTATTTTGTAATCATAAACGTAGCTCTGCAATCCAGCCAGACTTGGCGGGGAATCAGGAAACTAGGGGACCCATAGAACTGCAGCCAGAGCACAAAGATTGTAGGATGTTTTGAGTAGATGGGGGTGAAGGACTGCTCCCCTGAGCGACAGAAGGAACAGTCTGGCAGTTTAGATGTAACGCGAGTCAAATGCACTAGATTTGTCCGCAGTTGGCAACGGTGATCTTGCTGCTCTTGCCAATGCTGGACCCAAAGTGTTCCCTGGCTTCCACAACATTCGTGCCCTCTTTCGTCTTGCCAAAGACCACCTGCTCACCATCACACTCAGTGCTGGCAGCGCAGACGAAACCTGGGAACCATTCGTGTTGGGTCCAGCCGACCACGGATGAGATGCCAGGATCCCTATGCTTCAGGATGACATTCTCATCAAGTTTCTCCCCATAAGTGGGCTTGCTGCCAGCGCCATTATAGCGTGTGAAGTCACCACCTTGGCACATTAATCGTGAACCAATCCCGTGAAAGCAGGAAACTTTATAACCAAATCCATTCTCCACAGTGCACAGAACACAACAATTTTCCGTTGTCTTTGGAACTTTGTCTGCAAACAGATCGAAGGAGACATGGCCAAAGGGTTTGCTGTCCAGGGTGATGTTGAAGAAGACAGTGGGGTGGATCATGAGTGGGCGGCTCCTGGGCTCTGGCATCCGCAAAGCTCCAATCCCTACTTTAAACACTGAGACCAAGTAATAATAACTTAATATCTTGCTCCAGGAAATACCAACTGAACAGCTCACTTATCAAGCTTTCCTTCAACACCTTCACCTTGTTGTACCTACCAAGCTACTATTTTTTTTAAGTTTTTGTTTGTTTGTTTGTTTGTTTGTTTTATTCATTTTGAGACAGAGATAGAGAGCAAGCAGAAGAGGGGCAGAGAGAGAGGGAGACAGAATCCCAAGCAGGCTCCGTGCTGTCAGTGCAGAGCCTGATGCAGGGTTCAGTGTCACGAACCGTGAGATCATGACCTGAGGCGAAGTCAAGAGTCAGATGCTCAACAGACTGAGCCACCCAGGCGCCCCATAAAGCTACTATTTGTAAGCTCTGCCCAAACTCAACCAATTCTTTGTTTTGCAAGGCTCACCTCGTAATCGTTCATGCCAGGTCTGAAAACCTTATAAATAGCCTGATTTTCCCCTTTTGAGATACCAATGGACTGTCAAGAGAGTATTTTCCATTTCTGCGGTGGGTTCAATAAACTCAGCTCTGCTTGATCACTAGCTGATATGGTGGTCTTTGGGGGTCTTGACAGTAGATACACTGTAAGTTTTTGGTGGACACATACATTCATTCTCGTTGACTGTATGCCTAGGAGTGAACCTTGAGGTCATAGAATAAGAATATGGAATATATTGTCAAGTAGTGGCCTCCTCCCTATATCCATGTCTTTTTCTAGCTCCCACGCACATTAGTTATGCGAGTAGCTTTGGCCAATAGCTTATCAGCGAACGTGACATAATGTTCAGAAATCTGAAAAGTGTATGTCCTCTTGGAACACTGTTGCCATGTGAAGAAGCCTGGGTTAGCTTCCTGAAGACAGGGAACCAACAGCCATCACCGAACATAAGAGTGAAGTCGTTTTTATCCGGTCCCAGACAAGCCATAATGCAGTAACATTGCCCGGTCTTGTCTTCCCTGAGCAAAACTAGTGGAAGAACCATCTGGTTGAACTAAGTCCAAGTTGCTGATCCAGAGAATCACGAACAAATTAAAGATGTATTGTTTGATGCCACTGAACCTTGAGATGGTTAGTTAATGGGACAATAGGTAACTGATGTGGTGTTTATTAACTTTAATGGAAACTGCCAAACAGCTCTCCAAAGTGGCTGCACCATTTTAACACTCCCACCAAGAAAGGATGAGAGTTCAAGTTGTTCCACATCCTCACCGACACTTGGTATTGTCCTCCTTGTGTTTTTAGCCACTATTCACAGTAAGGAAGACCTTATCGCACTTTTTTGAATGAGTACTGAGTTGAGCATCTTTTCATATGTTTATTAGCCATTTGGATCTCTTTTTTTTTTTAAGTTCTTGTTCAAGTTGCTTGCCTATTTTTAAAGTATTTTTTAGTATTCATGTTGGAGTTCTTTATAAGTTCAGGAGATGAGTCTTTCTATCAGCTATGTGTAAGGTAAGTGTTTTCTCCAATACTCAGTGGTCTGCCTTTTGATGTTCACAACGGTGTCTTTTGATGATCAGCGGTTTTAAATTTTGATGAATTCTAACTTTTTTTTTCATATATTGTCAGTACTTTTTGTGTCCTTTTTTTTGTCAAAAATTTTTTTAATGTTTTATTTATTCTTGAGAGAGAGAAAGAGACTGAGCATAAGTGAGGGAGGGGCAGAGCGAGAGAGGGACACAGAATCTGAGGCAGGCTCCAGGCTCTGAGCTGTCGGCACAGAGCCCAGCGTGAGACTCAAACTCACAAGCTGTGAGATCATGACCCGAGCCAAAGTTGGATGCTAAACCCAATGAGCCACCCAGGTGCCCCTTTTTGTGTCCTTTTGAAGTCTTCATTTACCAAGGCCATGAAGACATTTTTCTGTGTTCCCTTTTTCAAGCTTGTGGTAGATGGTCTCCATGAGGTTCACCAATTTCTTCCCTCTGCACGCATAATGCCATTCCCCTAATGATAGAAACAATATATTCTTCCTTGCCCTCGGAAGCCGGACTGGCTGGCCTCATGACTCACTTGACCAACAGAATGTTGTGAAAGTAGACATTCTGGAACTTTGGAGGTTTGGTCCTAAAAACCTTTAAGGTGTCCACCACAGTCTATCAGAACACTCACACAAGAGGCAGCCAGCAAGCATGTCTAACTACCCTGAGATTCCTTGCTGGAGGAGTGCTCCCATTAACCTCCCAGCTATTTCAACCATCACAGATGAAGCACCAGGCATGTAAGTGAAAGAGCACATCGAATATTTTATTTGCAAAAGGTGCTATGTGAAGAAATGAGGCCCCAGATACATGGCCCCATCTGAGCTGTGACAGCCATTTTCAGTCTCCTAAGCCATCTTAGCTGAGGCCCCAGATGTCCTAGAGCAGAAATGGTTGTTCCTGGAAGTCCTCTCTGAACCAACGCTGACAAGTGGCTGTGGCCCGGGTCTACTCTCCAGAGCGGTATTGCATTTGGGGTGGTTATTACTGGATCATTAGTGGTACCACCTTTTATACTGGTTACTATGTTCTCGTTGAACCCAAGGGAAAATGAAGACGGGGCCCATTTTGTCTCTCCTGCTGGATTTACAAAGTCCGGTACTTCTAGCTTTTATCACAGAACTGATATGACACTAATAAAGAGAATATAGATGAGCTTTCAGAAAAGAAGACTTTCCCCAAAGGTGTACAGCTCCTCCCACAAATGACTCGGGAGGTTTTTAGGGCTCAAATATTTCTCATGATTAATTTGGTCTGACTGTGCTTTCTACCTACCTCAATTTTTATGTTGAGAAGACAGGAAAACCAGATTAGCCAAAGGGATGGCTATTAAATTAAATAGTATTAGTAAAGTTCATGGACTAGAGCGTAGGCTCACAGTGGACATAATTTGGCCGTGCTGTTGAACCTTTCTGGAACCATTTTAGGGCAATTCAACCTTTTGTTTGGAGCCTTGATGACTTAAGGAGGAAGAGTCAAAATCTGGGAGTCACTCTTATTCAGCGGAAGGAAGCTGTGTATTTCCTTGATCCAAGGATGCATTCTGACCGTGAGGCCAACTGACTACACCCAGGGGTGGTGGGCCGGCAGGCAGCAACCCCCCCCCCCCACCACGCCCCCACCCGTCCCGGGCTGGTCCACCGTCCCCTGCCCACGACACAGAAGCCTCCCTCCCCGGCTGCTTTTCTCAATCACATACGCTTTCAAACATCCACACAACCATCTTGCCTTCTAACAGTTAAAGCAAACTAGTACATTAATAAAACACGGTATTAACAACTATGTAAACGATGCCATTAGACTTCTGTGACAATTCCTATCTTACAGCTAAACAACCCGGGAATCAAACAGGTTAAGTGGTATAGATAAGGACTCACATTTATAACATGACAGGGCTGGGGCTCCATCCTGACTTGCAGGAACGAAATGGTCTATGCTCTGTCCACTGCTCCCGATTGAAGGAAAATAAAAGTTAAGGGCTAGAATGGAAAGAAAAGGGGTATTTTCTGAAACCAGGGCTAAATCTGGATGCTAACAATGACTGTATACCCCATGAGAAATTAATGACAAGAGTCTATTCAGAAGGAAAAAAGTTTTCTTAATTTCTGGGGCATTTGATAATTTCATGGATATTATATGAAAAGGAAATCACTGCATACAAACAAAGAATCACACTGAGGTGTTTACTGTATGTTAATCAATTGGAATTAAAATAAAAATGTAAAAAAAATAATAAACTGAAGCATTTAGACAGTTTAATCAAAAGATGTTTAAATCAGGGACACCTGGGTGGCTCAGTTGGCTAAGCGTCCGACTTCGGCTCAGGTCACGATCTCACGGTTCCTGGGTTTGAGTCCCGTGCTGGGGTCTGTGCTGCCAGCTCAGAGCCTGGAGTCTGCTTTGGATTCTGTGTCTCCCTCTCTCTCTGCCCCTCACCTGCTCGGGCTCTGTCTCTCTCTCTCTCTCAAAAATAAATAAATGAATAAAAATAAACCTTAAAAAATGTTTTTAAAAAGATGTTTAAATCCAATTTAAGGCTAATTCCGTCTGGACTGATCATTTGCAGTGACCTGAATATCATTTTGAGGCATAATGTGCAGATTACACTTCTAAGTCAGAAAATGCTAGAATGATGAAATCTTTATACAGGGACCCCTGAACAACACAGGTTTGAATTGTGTGGGTTCATTTTTTTCAATAAATACAGGACAGTCCTGCAAATGTGTTTTCTCTTCCTTATGATTTCCTTAATCACACTTTCTTTTCTCTCGCTGACTTTATTGTGAGGATAAGTACACAATACACCTAAGATACAAAATATGCGTTAGTGGACTGTTTGTGTTATTGGCAAGCCTTCTGGTCAATAGCGGACTGTTAGCAGTCAGCTTTGGTGGGGAGTCAAAAGTTATATGCAGATTTTCAACTCCGTCAGGGGCTCAGTGCTCCTAAGCCTCACACTCTTCAACAGTCAACTGTATTGTTTCTTCACAGTCTTAAAGGATTTCTGCACCAACGTGGCCAGAAATTTTCATCTGTGTATCCAAACAGATAGATAATTCCTCCCTCGATGCATTTAATTTGGTCAGCCTCGAAAGAATTCGGGCTAGAGGTAATATTTTACACGGGGTTCAGGATGCTACCAGCACAACGCATTTCAAATATACGTGATTTGCTGTTATAAGCAACTGAGTGCAATAAATTTATGCTGTTTTGCCAAAATCTGTCATGCGACGTTGTTATTCATCTGTTCAAGAATAAACATATCTTCTGTGTCATTGTTTTAAGTACTAAAGGGAGGTATAGACGATTTCATAGTCACGGCTGGAAATTATAACACACATATTGGTGCCTCCTCAGCAAGTGTTAGAAGTAGGCAAAAAATAAACCAGTGAAGACATGTATGTTCTGGACACTATCAACCACCTTGACCTGATTGATACCGATGTCACAGGTCACCTTTGTC